GGAGAGATAACCGGGAGGCATGTGCCGAGCGCGGGTAGATTATAGTAAACTCAATCGGAGAGGAGATAAAGAAGAGAGTAAAGAAATAGGCTGAAAAAAGACTCCCCCAACCCACCTGTTCTGTTGATTGTCTCCTCCTCAGCTCTAGAGGAGGGGTGAAACAGATTGTTTATCAGGCACGACTGGTTAATCAAAGCATAATGTAAAGCCCTCTGCTTTTGCAGGAGTGCACTGATTTGATAGCTTAGAGGAAAACCTCACCAACCTGAGGATAGAATTTCTCATTTATGCCAGAACAAATATACTGATCCTTAAGACACTTCTAAGATCTTAAACGATGGCAACGCAGGACTTGAACTTTCACATCCCAGGTAGAAGTACTATGTAAGTGATAAATGAATGCCTTTGGAAGTGTGCCACTCCAGCTGATGGATGAGAAGTCCCAGAACTTTACTGGGAATGGACATTACCATCTACATCACTTTCACTGCTAAAGTGAAAGACTCTTTCCATAAGGCATTTTTACAAAAATCAGAGTAGCTTCCCATGATCCATAAACAAAAAAAGAAAATAGAAGTATTAGGCTGAATTACATTGAACATCTTCAAATAAACTCATTCTGAAAGTAGAGCTACAGTTGTACATAAATGCTCTACTAGTGCTTGTTACTATACAAACACAGACTGAAAAGACAGTTTGTGTCCTAGGCAGCTTATCTGGATCTAAACTGTCGTGTGTAAGTTAGGCAGTGCTCTGTTTCCTCTGTGTTCTAAACCAACTAAAATTAAAAGTGTCAGCTTGTTCTAAGCCTCCAATACGACAAGTCTCAAGCAAGGCATGCCAAACCCCCAGAACACTTTTGTTTGTTAACAAATATTTGTTGGAAGATAAGTTTAGCTCTATTTCTAGAGAGGAGCGTGGGAATATGAGTGATTAAATATAGATCATACACTTGTTAGTGGAGTTAAAGTATTAATTAAAAAAATTGTTTAATTATGGAAACCACCAAAGGGCTGCAGATTTTATACTCCGAGGTGCTTGGGCCAGATGGCTCATCATCAGATGAACTCTTAAGACATGCATGAAGAATGCTTAAGATAAACATGGTGCTGAACTCAAGACATTGAGTTCCAGAGATCATAGACCTTATCTATGCCCACATTACACAAAGTTTGAAGTTTTTCAATAGTGCAAACACCAGTTATTGTCTCTGTAATTCAGTAACTGAGAAATTATACTCTAGATAGCCTCTTGAGGACTAGTGCCATGAACACAAGTTGCTTACACTTGCTTACAACAACCTGCTGCTTAAAGTAATAGTGATGGTCTGTCTGCAGTAGAGTTCCCAGGGTTCCTACTGCTGATGGAGAGTTCTAAATCTGAGAACTGATGCTACAGAAATGTTTTAGGATCTAGTCTAAGGACATGATCCTGTAAACGCTATTGATTTAATGTTACCTAAAATGAGAATTTTTAAAGCTTTGGATTTCATGGTAAATAAATATTACTAAATAATTACTTTCGTGCAGTATCAGAACTTACACATAGGCTGGCCTGATACTTCCATAACCCTGAGCCTTGGTCTAAAACTTAGCAGCATTTCGCTGTTTCTGAGCATTGTGTCTCCCCTTTGCCTCCATTTTGGAAGAGGAAAACTGGGGTCTAAAAGTATCCATCACACCAACACTGGTGGGAGCACTACAGTGAAAGGGTGTTGGGTAGCTCAGGTGCTGTAAAATAAAATAGGTGTGTAAAAAAAACCAAACCAAAACCCCATAAACAGAAACCAACCCCACCAAAAAAAAAAAAAACTGAACACCTCCAAACCCACAAACAAAACCCAAAGCGAACGGCCAAATGAGAAAACCCCAACAAAACAAAAAAATCCTCAAACTACAACCCATCCCCCAAATTCTCACAAACAAACAAACAAAAAAACCCACACAATCTTGGAAAACCAAACAATTCTAAAGCAACACTCAGCATTCTCAAATCTTGCCTTTTCACCACTATTCCCCAGTAACTAATGCTGGTTTTCTTTGGGTACTGTGTCTTGTAGAATGCATCTACACTAAGCACTTATGTCTGGATGGGAGGCAGATACAGCTGGAAATCTATGACACTTGTTCACAGGTAAGGGGGCAAAGAAAGGCTGGTTAACAAAATTTGTCTGTTCTTGGAATTTGTGCTTGCTCTTTTTTTTGAGAAGACTGAATTTTTACAGTTGCTGTGGCTCAGATATGGGGAGAACTTTTCCCATTTCATGGAAGAAATCCATCATTGCTTAAATTTTCTGTAAATGCTTTTTACATTTTGGAATATTGCTATCAAATAACTTTTCCCATTTCTGCCTTATATAGATAAATACAGAGATAAGTTGTAGGACTATATGCAGTTTCCTCAACTATCCTAAATGGATGAAATTTAGTTTATAAAGTAGTTTATTAAATGTCTGCAGAAATGGTCAAAGTAGACAGGCCTGAAAGTAAGACTTGCATTCACAGAACAAATCCAACGGAAGCTATAATACAGACTTGTATGTGTTGACAGCTGAACTTTGATCACAATAAACCACTCTGAAATAAAGGGGGTTTTGTATTAATTTCTTTCCTGCTATTACAGGAGTTGAGAAACTTAGGTACTGTGTAACACACGCAGAGGTAGGTTCCCTTTTGGGTAGTGCTCTTGCCTCTTACCAACTAGGGTAGTGAATACTAATTCCAAAGCCAGAGCACTGGAAGTCTGACTCAGACTTAAATTCAAGGACTTGATGATTTTAAAGGTCTTTTCCAACCTAAACATTTCTATGACTTAAAAACTTAAGCCAGTGAGTACATAAAGGAAATGAGAAAACAAATCTGCCTTCCTAGAGAAGAGCAGTAGCATTGCTTGTCCCAGGGCAGTAAGGACCCTTGGATAGCCATTGTACCATGTAAGACTGTGGAGTCCTCCCCCACCATACAATCTGTCAGAAGCTACTCTTCTGTGGATTTACTTCCACCTATCTCAGACCCCCTTTCCTACGCCATAGCTTCCACTTACAGTCATATTAAACCCTGTGGCATGTGGACACCTTTTTAGTAAGATACTTGAAACTCTGGGAGTGACAGCTAGCTAGAGTAATGCAGATTAAACTACATTATGAGTGGAGACTTTGGTTGCTACAGTTTGGGCACATTTTTGCTTTCAAGGAGACCACAGATCCTGTGTAAATGGCAGCTTCTCTTGCCAGCACTCTTTGAGATGTGTTGTACCAGTTCTTCCTTAGGAACAAAGCCTAAGCAGCTGTTTGCTGCTTCCTTCTTCACTTCTGAGTGCCTGCAGAGGAGCAGATAGCTAGCAGTGGTGGTATTTTATTTTTTTTTTTTTTCTGATAGAACTGGTGATTCTAGAAAAAGATGGATGGGATATGGAGGTCCTGTATCCCATAGGAGCTGGAAAGAAAAACAAGTCACAAGAGAGGCCCAGACTGGTGAAGGAAGAGATGCCATTTTTGTTTCCGCTTCCCGAAATCTTCCTGCTAGTAGCTGAATCCCTATTCTGCATAGCTCACTGTCTCTTCATCCACTGGGGAAACAGTTGAGACACACAAGCCTCTACACCTGCTGCACAATCACCACAGCATTAAAAAACTGCTGTATTAAAGAACTGAAGTCTTCAGACAGTTCTGGAAATGAGTTTCATCTTTTCTTTCTCTCACATCCCCTTCCACAAAGAAACAAAACAAATAAAGAAACAAAAGAAAATAGTTAAGTTTACTGTAATGAGGATATTAAGAACATGCAAAACAAAGCTATAACCAGAAGCTGCACAAATATTTATGGCTCATGTGACTCTGCAAAATATTCAGCATAAGCAATGGCTGTACAGGTTATGCAGTTTTACTGCTTAAAGTGCAAGTGTTTCATAATTAATTTGTCAGTGATCCAAAGTGCTGTCTGTAGTGATGGTTATTTATTAGGCTCTTGGAGCAGGACTCACCTAAATTCAATGCCAGCACCTAGACCTGTTAATATCTTTTGCAATAAAAGACACAATGTTCTCACCTTCACAGTGGCAAAGAAAATGCTCTGAAGTGACAACAGTAACATTCTTTTTGCATGTGAATTTGAACTTCTTTCAGCCGCAGCGGGGGAAGCTCTCCCTCACAGACGAGCTCCACTGGGCTGATGGATTTATCATTGTTTATGACATCAGTGACAGAGCATCATTTGCCTTTGCAAAAGCTTTGCTGTACAGGATCCGAGAATCTCACATAGGAGCTTGTAAAAAGTAAGTGCCATTATTTTTCTTTTGCTCAGCAAACATACAAAAAAGCTGAGAACGTTTCTGTGAGCTGTAGGCGTCCTAGTAGCAATTAAAATCCATCAGGATCCAAGTGGCATAACAATACCAACAATAAGGTACCTGAAGGTAAACTGTGGTACAAATTGCAATCTATTTCAATGGATTCAAAGCCAAGTACATCAGTTTTTTTATTTCATACAGCACGACTGTTCAAATAATTGCCATAAATCTGTCTGCTGTGATTTACGTGGGTAAAAAGCTGGCACAATTGATGCCTTTACTCCTCCACTATATTACTAATGGTAATGCACCAGTTCTGGGTGGGCTGAAGAAATTATTTCCCACAATAAGTGAATCTGCTGCCACAAATGTCTCCTAAACTACCTTTAGCAGTGACACCACCATTATTTGTACACATGGGTGACCATATGATAAGAAACAAACTACTTACTTTCAAAAAGAAACACAGAACTGCAAGTCTGAGTACATGTGGTGGTGAGTATTCCTGCAGCAGTCAGCCTAGATGCCCTCTGAACAGGAGTGGAATACTTTGCTTATATCAGAAGCAGAGTCAGAAAATAAAGGCTTTTCTGTCTGTTTTACTGCTGACCATCCTTAATTAAGGTTTCTCTGGAATGATTCATTTAAACTTGGAATTAGGACTCCTGTGTTTTCTTCTGAATTATACCACTGATACATCTCTGAATCCATCCTGTTGTCTACAAATAGAGATAATGATCATCTTGCTTCTTCATGAAGTCCAGGAGCTGACAATGCACCATTACAGAGTATGAAAACTTCAGTGGGTGAAAATACATGAATTCACTGAGTAGAGGAACAAAAATGAAAACTTACTGATAGAGAATAGCTTGTCTGGAAAATCCTTTGATGTTTGACTACAGCAAATGAAAAACTCTAACTCTACCTGTCAATGTTAGGGGATTGATTTGTTGTGTTTTCTTTTGTTTTTTTTCAATGCCTATTATCCTAAACACACATACTTTTCATACACACACTGTCTATACAGCACAGCATGCAGTACAGCATTGTAACATATCCTTTTTCTAATCTGAACCTTTTTGATTTCAGAACGGTTGAGTCGTCAGTATTTTTGGTTGGTAACAAACAAGATTTATGCCACATGAGGGAAGTTGGCTGGGATGAAGGACAGAAGCTGGCAATAGATAACAAGTGCCAATTCTGTGAACTGTCTGCAGCAGAACATTGTCAGGAAGTTGTTGCAATGTTCATGAAAGTCCTGAGGAATATCACCTCAAATTTTAAAGCGAAGGAAAAGAGACGACCAAGTGGATCAAAGTCAATGGCCAAGTTAATCAACAATGTGTTTGGAAAGAGAAGGAAATCTGTGTAAAAGATCCATAGTCTTGGAGCAGGAACAAGCTAAAATAACGGAGCAGAAGCAGCTCTTTGGGTTCAGTCAGTTTCCTCCAAAGGTCAATGTCTGGAGGAGTAAAACAGTAGAAACCAAAGGTGGGAGATAGTATGGTCAAGTGGACAGGGTCCACACCTAGAAGACCTAACCTTCTATTTCCAGTTCTACTACAGATTTACTGTATTAGGGCTGTCACTTAAACTCTAAGCTGCTCCTCTGACCCTTTATCTTATATAAAGTTCTTCAGAGGAGAGCTTTTGTATTTATTCAACAGCATCATGGTCTTGGATAGAGCTTCTGGGTGCAGCTGAAATATAAACAGTTATTTTCAATAAACTCAGCCTTGCTGATCAAAATATACCTTCAGAATGGTAAGAGGTAGTTGCTTTTTCTTGTGCAAGAACACTTGCATTAAACAAAAGCAAAATACTGATACATATGATAATATATTTGTATTTAACTCAAGGAAGGATCCTCATGTGCCTAAAGGTGCCTAACACCTGCTGAAATTCATGTGGATTAAATGTTACAGACACCCAATCTACAAAAGGTATTGACCTGCAAAACCGCCTTGTAGAGGCACCAGAAGTAGGGAAGCAGATAAAAAAAGCAGTGTGGTCTCCTGTTTATTTTTCTAGTTTTTTTTTTTTTTTTCACTGGTGAAAGAAAGTAGAGAGGGTTGAGAAGAGTAAGGACAGAAATGCTAGTGAAATGTTAGTCAATGAACATTGGACTATTCTGGCAAGGTCATTGTTTAGTGAAATAATTTTATAGCTAAGGCCAGTGTAAGGCTGGGGTGACATCTTGAGCTGATGCCTTTCAGGAACAGTTTTTGTGAGCTGTGACAGTTTCCTTACCTGTTAGGTGCATGTGCCTGTTCAGGTTTAGATGGGAGTGGAAGCTTGGAAAGAAGATGGACTGGTAAAGAGCACAAGTTCTTTAGGATGTCTGCCTGGATTTAAAGGTCAGCCTGCTGGTAAGACGTGTGCTCCTAACTTGCACAGAGTGTTTTTTCCTAAGGAGAAATGTTTTTACAACTAGTCATGGCTGTGGTATTGAAATGCCAGTTGAATGAGCACTAAGGAATATGTTACTACACTTTCCAGATGTGGTTATTAAACATCAGACAGGTCTAGATATACTGTCACTTGACATGCAGAGCTTTTATTGTAGACAACTAAACAAGGACTTAGCCCAGCGTGTTTGAAAGTGCTTTGCTCATACAGAAATTATGAAAGAAGCAATCTGAAGATGAGTTACTGCTTCCTACCTGTTCCAGAGGACAGCTGGGATTCAGTCTTTGTAAGCTGCTGAGCTGAAGCCCACCTCTGCTCTCAAGTTTTAGCTGCATTGAAACCATGACAGTATATTATCAGTCACAGCAGAATACTGATTTTCAAATGTCCACTGCTATAAGATAACATAAAAAAAGCTACAGAATCATAGCATTACTCTTGTAGAATAAAACTAAAGCACATTTTAATAAGTGTTAACCAAAGATCACTTCCTTTTTTTTAAGGAAAGGATACTATTTCACTTGCTTTAAGACTATAAATATTGGAATGGAGTTCTCAGTGTTGAGAGGCACAGCGTTGCCTTATTTCTATGCAGATGCTGCTCTGCCATATCAGGAGTAGTGTATTTAACTGTATTGCCAGTATCTGTGAGGCTGAACTTGAAGACCACTCATGTACACTCTTCAGCAATCCAGCCCACATGGAATTCCAGAACTGCTAAGGGGCTGTTGATCTGCCAGGAAGCTGTATCTCACGAGTTCTAGTGTTGCTACATTCAAGAACTCTTACCTGTATTTACTGCCATGATGTTAAATAAATCAGATATAAAATGGATGTATTAATGCTTTTTTTTTTCTGTACTGTGGTATAAAGCTACAGACTTTTCCTTTTGACTACTGTAAAAGTGAAGCACTGTGCCTATCTGGAATATAAATTACAGAATGTAAATCTGGGAGTCAGACACTTGCACAGGAGAGAGCCTCTAGCTGTGTGTTTTCTGCACACAATGAGGAAGCCTTTATGCACCCTTCTGCTGTGAACAGCAGAGAACTTTTTTTAACAATTCTTAATCCTTTAAAAATTTGTCAAGACAGCCAGAGAGAAGCTAGTTTTGATTTGCTCATATTAATGGGAATGTGGACTTCCAAATAGATGGAGTCTACAGTGTACCTCACAGGTTTCATTCCCTTTTTGACCAGATGGGGTACATGTTAGAACACACCTGTCTATCTTCTGGCCCTTGTGCTGGGTTGCACTCACCTGAAGACCAGCTGAAACAGCTGCAGGATGCATTAAGACTTAAGCATACTAAAGCACTTAGTATAGACATGAGTTGATGTTCTTAGGATCAGAATTTCACTTTTATTGCTGCTAAGTGCCAATGAACCAGAGTGCAGAATTTTGGAAGCAATTAAATTTTAAAGCAGAAAAGCAGATCCACATTCTGCCTTAGTAAGTGCATTTATTTATTTATTTTTAAGTGCAGACATTTTAGAGAAAAATAAGATAATTAAAAACTGATATGTACATATGAAGAATTCTTGGGATTTTATCAGTAAAGGTAGTAAGTTACTGGGTCAGCCACATCTGAAAATATAGCCAAGAACCCTGCTTGTATAATACAGTAAATGATGTAACTGGTGTTTGATGTTCACCCTGACAGTGACATCACCTAGAGCATATCCAGCTCATTGAAGAGAGTGGAAAGGGAGCTGTTTGTGTTGCTATGGATTGCTTCAGCATACTACCCCATCCTTTCTCACCAAAAGATTTTGAAATTGCCATACAGGAGTTGAAAGTTTCTTGCTGTCATGTCTGAAGTCCTTGTTTGTGTGAACTTTCAGTAAACTTTTGCCTGAGAAAGGCACTCAGAATTTATCTTCTTTCTCCCTGTCTTCATCTTGTTTTTACTTTAGAAACAGTGAGATAAAAGCAAAGAGATTCTACTGAAGTATAAAGGTAATAGCACCTAGCTCCCAAGTGCTGTCTCTCAGAAAGCTTTCAGGTAGTTTTTGAAGGTCTTTCTCACTATTGTTTTGAAATAAACAATCAAGATAAACACAACCTCAGCTTCTCTTCCTGCTGTTGTTCCTGTATGCATTAAACTCTCTTTTTGTAAATCCCTCTTTAGTCACATTCACAAGTCAGAGGGGAAAATGTCACAAAAATTTAAAGCATGATACGCCTGGAAGAAGGAATAATTAAGTACAGTATTGAGTACAGCAACCAAATATGCTCTTTCTTTCTAATACATTTAAGTCAGGATAGCAATAAAAGAGGTGGATCAGAGGTTTTGATGCTGTGCTACACTCTGAAGACAAAAGTAACTCCCATAGGATTTTTAGTCTATTGCTAGAAGCTGATTTCTGAGGTGATGGGAGGGTGAACACTGAAGTGCAAAGACTTTGTGAGTCATGTGGAGATAGTCTTGTTGCTTTCCTTTCTGTCTGACAACACTGCTTTGAAGATAATACACCAGCAGATACTTGAAGGTGTCTGATCTTGGCATAATGTACATCTATCTAGGAGGCAGGGAGAGGAGCGGATGCTGTGGCTATTGGCCTGAACCAGTATGATGCTCTCACTGACAGCTGGATCTGGATCACTCAATGGTATTTTCAGTGGTTATGCTATAAAAAAGAAGGTATTATGAATACCATGCAAAGCAAAACTGAAGTGCAGTAAGTATCCAATATAATGCTGATTTTCCATCAGGATGCCTGTTGCAGCAGGTGTTTTTGGTTAATGAAGTTTTCATACAGATTTGCTTTGCTTATGGAAAACTACAGCTCTGATTAATATGTTTGAAAGGAAACCTTGCCTATCTGCTCTGAAGTGAGAAACACGTTTAAAAAAAAAAGAGACAAACTACTGAATTTTAAACTGTATGTTAAAAAAAAAAATGAACCTGCTACCTCCTTAAACCTGTCCACAGGCCTCTTCACAGGCTTAATCTGCTCATGGGGAGTAAAAATGAGGAAGTTAAACTTTGATGTGCTGTTCATCCAGTTTGAAAAGCAAAGCCTTTATTTACATGCCTGAATTTGGATCTGGGCACCTAACTGCTAACTTCTATTGTTTGAAAATCTAGGTTTGATTTTTCCATAAAGCAGCAGTGTAAGTGTTGTGTTGGGGTTTTATTTCTTTCTTTTTTTTTTTATTCCCCCAAAATTGATATTATGTGAGACAGGCAGGCTATTCTGGGTAGGAAGTTATTTTTAAAAAGACATCACTCTTTTCTAGAAATGGCCTGTAAGTTTCTATCTTCTTTTAATTGCTTTACAAAGTAAATTGAGTATCTGTCATTATATAATTAATATCAATGTTTAACCCTATGTATTTGACATGACTTGAGCCATTTACTGCTACATTCATTTTTTAATACTGGCTAGGAGTTCAGATATGCCTCTAATTCTTGCTGAACTCTAAAACATCGAGAGTTTTTCCAGTGAAGGCCTCTAACATTACAGAGAAATAGGTACTACAGCAAGAGAAGTGGAGAAGGGAACTGTTATCACAGAGCTTGAGCTAAGTGATCTAAGGTCTGTCCCCTTATACACTCTGATGTTCATATTCCACAGCAAAACAGCATTGTATCTATACTACCTAATTTATTTTGCTGCTTGACATAAGTATAAGGAAGAATAAAATGGAAAATTTGACCTTAAAATTAGAAGCATTGTGATAGCTAGTGAAGATATCATTTTTAATAGATGCAATTTGAAATAAGTTTCACATAGGTTTTTTTGTTGTGGGGTGTTGTGGTTGTTTTTTGTTGGTTTTTTTGTTTGTTTGTTTGTTTTGTTTTGTTTGGTTTGGTTTTGGTTTTGGTTTTTTTTTTTTTCCAAAAGCGATTTCTGCCTTTTCAGGCAAATTGCCTCCCAGAAGAAACTTTATTTTAAAGATGCTGTGAGTCTCTGAAAGTTTCACAATCTTCTGCTGAGTGCCTTTTGAAAGTAATACACTGCTTAATGAGGAGAAACCAGACAGCTTTAGTACTTCCAACATCTCCCTCTTGTGGTGCTCTGCTCACACTTCAGCCTCCTCAGTGAGCAATGAAACCTTTCAGCTTCTCCTCAGGTTGAAACATCAATGCTAATAAACCCAAGAATGCTGATCACAACGTACCTGTGAAAACCCTCCTGCCTTCTATTAATAGAAAATTCTGCTATCGATTATGCTAAGCTTAACAATATGACATTTCATAGGCTTCATTTGACAATATCCTTAGCTAATAGAACTGCCGATGTTGATAAGGTTTTTCTCACAACTGACACTTCTGAGCTCAGCTGTTTCACTGAAATAAAGTCCGGCTATCTCCTCTAAGATGCTG